GGCCCCCCCCCACCGGGGGGGGGGGGGGCCCGCCCGCGAGGGGGCGGGGGGGGGGGGGGGGGGGGGGGCAGGCTTTCCCTCTTCAGCCGGCCAGGTACCCCTTAGGAGGGTGAAAGCGGACGCAGAAAAGGCCAAGGTCTGTGGCGGAATGAAGGCCCCGGGGCGGAAGGGGGGGAGGGGAGGACGAGGGGCAGAGTCAGCGGAAGCTCCCCTTGGAGGCATCGATGGCGCCTTCCTCAGTCAGGAGAGGGGGGGGGGGGGGACAGAAAGTCAGGACAGACAGCAGAAGCGCTTTTTTTGGCAGAGGATGCCGGATTGCCGGCAGGGAAATCCAAGTATTTTCAGAGCAAGTGAGGTAGGCTGCCCGATGGAGCCCGGAGCCTGGATGGGGAAGTCAGTGGGCAGAAGGCCAGGGAAGTCGTATTGGACGGGGGGACAAGCCCAGGGCTCCCTGGGGGCTCCTCGCTCACGGATGCCGGGAGGCCTGAGCAGGACCAAAAGGGAACAGATTTGTCCCATAAAAGAAACCATGTAGTGAGTCACAAGGCCAGTTCTAGCTTGTGTGCTGAGGGTCAAAGAACCGATGAGCACCGGGAGAAAAGGTTCCGGTCCAACTGCGTTCAGTTCCAAATTCAGTGAGGTCCAAAGCAGTTGAGCTCCCAGGTGGCCGCCCTGCATAGGATGTCGAACGGAAGAGGGGAAAGAAAGGGGGACCCTCTGGGGAAGAAGGAGGGCAAGTGGGGGGGCCACAGCGGGGCAGAGGGAGAAGGAGGGGGGGCTTAAGGGCTGCTGGGCAAAAGCAGAGGAGGCGGTCAGGCATGAAGGGGGGGAGGGAGGGGTCCCTGGGCTGAGTCGACCCCCTGGAGAGAGAGAGGACCTTCCAGCAGCCCCCCCCGGGGGGGGGGGGGAGGGGGGGGGGGCGGGGGAGGAAGGCGGACGGGGGGCCGTGCCGGGAGGGGAAGGTTGCCGGAAGGCTCCCTGGCCTCTCTGGACCCCCTTTCCCCCGGGCGCTGCTTGCCCCCCAAGGCAGAGCCTCCCGCGAGGTCCCGGCGCTCGGAGACTCAGCCGGCCTCTCTTCTCCCGCGCAGGTGGTGCGCAGAGTGAAGCAGCTGCGCAAATCGCCCGGCCCGCCCGCCCTGAAGCGCTACCTGCAGCGCAGCGCCTCCCGCCGCTCCGGCTACGCCTTCTCGCACCAGCAGGGCTTCGGGGACCTCATCACCTCCGGCCGGAACATGCGCCTCAAGTCGACCCCCGCCAGCCCGGCGCCTTACGCCCAGAAGTACCGGCCGCGCTTGGAGAGGAAAGACGGGGGCGCTTCCTAGCCCCGCCCCACCCCCAGGCGGAGGGACCCTCGCTCCCGCCTGCGGAGACGGGACTTGGCCGGCGCGGAGCGCTCCTACGGACGGTGGAGGGGCGGCGCGGGAGCGGGGGCCCCCCGAGACCCGGCCGAAAGAGCGTGCCGGCGGAGGGGAGCTCCCACGAAGGCCCGGCTGGGGAGGGCGCTGCGGCAGAGTCCCCGGGATTGGCGCTCCACACCGGCTCATCGCCGATGGGTCTCCTGGAGTCTAACGCTGGCCCGCCGCTGCTTCTGAATGCTTCCCGCGCAGAGGAGCCCGGGCTGAAAGGGGCCCTGCCCGAGCAGAGAGCCCCGGAAGGCCGGGGCGGCGGGTGGCTCTCCCCCCTCTGCAGCCCGGTAGTGTTGCGCGCACTGCCCGAAGAAAGATGCTGCCTGGCGGAGAGTCCGGGCTTCTCAGGACCCGAGCGGGGGGGGGGTTCAGGTCCAGCAAAGGCCTGGGGGGCTCCTGGCTCAGGAAGATGGGGAGCCCCAGAACAAGCTTGGAGGGGCCCCCCCCCCCCCGACTGGATCCCCTCCCGCCCAGGCGGGGGGGGGCGGCGCCCCCCCTCCCCCCCCCCCCCCCCCCCCCCCGGGCCGGGGCTGGTGGGGTCCCCCCCCGGGGCGGGGGGGGGGGGGGGGGAGGCACCCATCACTACTTGCACCCAAGGCTGCCTTCTGAGATTTGTCCACCCAGCCTGCAGAAGATGCTGGCCGCCTGCTGGGTGGTCTGTCCTGCTGGTCCTGCGCTGCTTTGCTCCAGGGCGCGTTGGCTGTGGGGCAGAGCGGCTGGCTTGAACTTTGGCGCCTCAACACTGAGTCAGACTGCAGGCCAGAAATGCTATTGGCAACCATCGGGTCCCCCTTGTGGGGTTCTGGCACCTTTAGGCCCTTGAAGGTAGAGGGCCATGATTGGGGAACGGGGGGGCTGGTGATGGAGCCCCATCTTCTGGGCCGGAGATGCCCTGCCTGCCGGAAGAAGCTACTCCACCGCTACCGGCATTCCTGGCCCCATCTTGGCCACGGCTGGGGTGGTCTAGCATCCAGCACTTTCAGCAAAGGTCTCAGCTGAGCAGGCCACTCGCAGGAGAAACACCCTGCCTCCCGCCCGCCCTTTGCGGGGCTGCCATGGGGTGGAAGCTTGCCGGAAAACTTGTCCCACAATGTTCCCCTACTAAGGTATATTTTTTCCGCAAGCATTTCTGTTTAATTGTTAGAATGGTATTGCTTCATCTAAAATTATTGCATAAGATAGTTATGGAAATTACGGTCGGCCAGGATTAGGGAACAGAAGGGATATTATGCCAGTCAAATCTAAATCCAGTGTTGTAATTTTTTTACGCCCATATGTTTATGCACACAGCAACTGAAGCTTGCTGAGGATAATATATTTATAATGTTGAGCTTTTAAAAAAAATAAATAATATAAGGGAAGTCTCTATTATTTATTTGTCACATCTCCAAATAATTGCAAACATTCTCACAAAAAGATCTCTTGATGTATTTGAAAATAAAATAAAACCACCCTCTGCGTTTTTATTCCAAAGTAAATCCTGCCCTCTCTACAGGCAGAACTTGCTTTGGAGGAACTGCCTGAGTTGACCCTCTTGAGGGCCCTGGGAGGGTTTCCCTCCCCTCTGACTATTTTTCCTCAGTCACTTTTAGTCATTGGGGGGCGGGGGGGGGGGGACCATCTATTTCTGGAGCAGCAAAATTGACCCGGCAGGCAGTTAAAGCTTTGCTGGCTGAAGACACCCGACGGAGCAGAGAGTTTGTGCTTTGGGGAACAGCAATGCCAGGGCTGGGGGTCCCAGAGCGTCCGTCTCATGCCAGCCCTGGGAGTCGAGAGGCCGCATTCCTAGAACACCCTTAGCCCGACGGACTGACGCTGCAGCCCCTTTCCTGGCTCCTAGAACTTTTCCGAGCCATCAAGCATTCAAAGGAAGCCCCAAGGAGGCCCCCAGACTTCACGGGGTACATTGTTGTGCCCCCCTCCCTGTTCCGTTTTGGGAAGGAGGCGGCTGTGGTCCAGGTTACCAAGTGCCTTTCTGGGGGGCGGTGTGCTACAGGTGCAGCATTTCCTTGCTTTATTAATCTAGCCATCCTGTCCCATCCCCCCCCCCCCCCCCCCAAAAAGCCTGCAGACCAACCATTTGATGGGGGTTGCTAGGATTTTCCCAGGTAGGGCGGTCAAGCTCCTGGTCTCCGTGGCCTTTTCCCCGAAGCTGCACTGGACTCTGAGGAAGGAGGGGGCACTTCTACAGGGAGCCAAAATGGCCAAAATGTTGGTTTGCCCCTCCCAAGGCAACAAAGATCAACTTAAGGGTGACACCTTTATCACGGGCGGGACTGCTACTCCCAGATTACACCATCATAAACTAGTCAAGCGTGAAGGTGCCACCTCATTTTTTGTTAGAGCCGAGGGTCTTCCCCAGATTTGCCAGCTGTCTCCGGCTCTCCCAGTCCGAAGCTCAGCTCTGCTCGTCTCTCGAAGGGAACAAAAGGGAAGATCAGTTTTAGTTCAGATCCTGTACTTCAGACAACCATGGCTTGCTCTAAAGCTACATCTGGCCAGGCTTCTCCTAAGACCATCCAGGAATTGGAGCAGAATAAGAGTTGGAAGGGGCATGGGGGGCCTTCTAGTGCTCCCCCCCTGCTCCAGCAAGATGCTCTATTCCGTTCTGGACAAATGGTTGCCCATCTCCTCTTGAAAACCTCCAGTGTTGGAGCCCCCACAACTTCTGGTAGCAGGCTGTTCCACTGCCCCTTGTCCTCCCTGTCGGGACGGTTCTCCTTCGTTCCAGGTCGCTTCCCCCCCTTGATGAGTTTCCCTCTGTGGCTGCTTGTCCTGCCCTCCGGGGCCTGCGGAGTTGAGTGTCCTGCACCACCTCAAGTTGCGTGTGCATTTGGGGGTGCACCTCTCCCACCTGCCCCTTTGCCCACAGGAGGTGTTTCTCCCACCCTGTTTCTGCAGAGCCCACTGCCCCAAAGAACCCTGGCTGGCTGCAAGGAGGGTTGGCTGGGCTGCCCAGCAGGCCCCCGGACCTTAACATGCCCTGCCAGGAAAAATCTGGTGCCTCTTCATCAGCTGACAAAGTTTACGGCTGTTTGTTTTGAGGGCCCAAACGCCTTAAAATAGTGCTGGTGCTTTCCCTCTCATTGGAAGTTAGGCACTATTATTAGATTTGGAGAGTTAATCTTTTGACAGGCTGACTGCTGGGTGAGGAACGCGCCAAGCATGCGGCTGTGGTTTTTTTAAGGCTTTAAATATCACCTGATGCTGTTGGTGAAGTTACTACGGGGCTGTGAGTTGCTCTGAGTCACAAACCCAAAGCTTAAGAATCTTCTTGGAGGCCTCTGACCCTGGGAGGGAGGGAGGGAGGGGGGAAGAGGAGGAGGCTGGGACAGATGGGGGGGGGTCTCCCTTATGGCCCTGGAGAGGCCTTAGTGCTACATCCCCACCTGTCAGAGGAAAAGGCTTTGGCTGCCTCCCGAGATCAGGGAGCATCTTCTCAGGAGCGTCCAACAGTGAACGCAGCTGGTAGGAGAAGCTGCCACCTGAACCAGCAGAGAAGGCCGAGGAGACCGAGGCCTGTGAGGGACACCAACCCCAAAGGAATTGGCTGGTCTGAGCAAGTTGGAGAAGAGGGTGAGAGGGTGACAAGCACCAGGGAGGAGGCTGATCAGGCCCTCCAGGTAGAACACAGTTTTTAGGGGGAAAAAATTATTGGTTTTTAAGACAAACATAGACAAACAAAACATAAAAACATCAAGCCATCTTCCATATATATGCATACAGTGTGTCGGTTGGTTTACAAATTGTTTTGTGCTTCCACTTCGGAGTCTTCAATTACAATTACATTGTATATATTCTCTTATTTTCAATCAAATATTAAATACATTAATATCATTGTTAATCATTTGACTATGATTCATTCATGTTTTACGAAATAATCCATATTTTACTTAATTTGTTTTATGACAGTTCATATTATCTCAAATCTACGATCATTTTGTAGATATAATAAGAAAAGAATACATCTTTATATATTATTTTCTAAGAATCTACATATTTCATTACCATGTTTTATTGTCTAACCATTGATAGAATAGATCCCAAATTTTATAAAATTGTTTATCATCTAGTTCTCTGATTTCAAATGTCAATCTAGTCATTTCAGCACATTCCAATATTTTCTTAATGATTTCCTCCTGTAATGGTATTTTCTCATTTTTCCAGTTTTTGGCAAATACAATCCTAGCCGCTGTTAATACATTTACAATCAGGTATTTCAATTCTTTACTATATATTTCAGGTAAAATTCCCAATAAAAATATATCTGGTTTCAAGTCTATATGCTTTTTTGTCATTTTTTTCCAACCACGTGTGGATTTTAGTCCAATATTTTTTGCCATCGCACAAGTCCACCACATATGGTAATAGGGGGCGTGCATAAGCGCACCAACGTGCCTACCGTCCCTGTCCTATTGTTTCTCTTATTCTTTTATTTTTCTTATATGTACCCATTTCATGTATTCACAACTATGTATACACTTATACTTATTATCTTGTAAACAATTGGCAAATCAAATAAATAAATAAATAAATAAAATAAATATGAGCCAGGTGTCTGATGACATTTCCAACATTTTTCATATTTAGGTAGAACAGAGTTGTTGAACAGCTCCTGTGGGACTGGGGCCACACGGAGGGAAAGTTGGGCTTCTGTCTGGGGCTCAGCACTCCAACGTGTTCATAAAAAGAGGAGGGGGTAGAAGAGATGCTGGGCAAGTCTGCAAGCAACACGAAAAGGGGGTGGAAGGTTCAGGAAAACCCTCCCTCTCTCGCATTCTGGGAAGCCAGAAAGCTGGGCCCTCTCTGCCCTTTAACGGGTGGAAATGGGGAAATGGGGAAATGGTGATGATCTTAAGCAACTGTTAATTGGATTTGTAACATGTGGAGCTTCCGTACCCAAACAATGGTCATAAATGGCTTCAGTGCAGCTTGGAGGAAAATGTGAAAGGGGGAGCAATGGGCA